CTTAGCACCATATAAGGAAATTTATAAAGACCTTTTAACTAGAAGCAAGCAATCTAAAATTACATACATTTTGCAAAAGGTAAAGCATGGATCTGAAGATAATGCAGAAAAATGCTCAGAGGATAAGGATAACTTGCCAAAAGGAAAACGCTCTCGGTTAATTAATAGTGTTTTTAGTGATGACGAAGAAAACATTGTTTAATTTATATTAATATGTATCACTTAAAAAATTTTTATGAAGATATTTATCTTAATTATGAAAATATACTAGCATGTTTTTTAATTTTTGGAACCTAACCCTCTTTTTCATATTAGTTCTTTGTTTCGTATAACACGGATTCGCATAACATGGCAATTTTTTGGAACGTAACTACCGTGTTATACGGGGGTTACCTATAGTTGATGATAAAAATTTCTTCTTTTTTCTTTTCTTATATGTGTAAAATTAATACAGTTGAAACAAAATAATTTTAAAACAAAAAATAATAAATGAACGTAGTCATATATTTTATTCTGAATTAAATATTTTTGGGACATCAAAGTCTCATCATCAAATCAAATACTTTAAGTACATTAAATCTGAATAAAAACTAATGCCTTAAGAACATTCTAATCAAGTTAGAAAATTTCAGAACATTTCAAAAATTAAATAATATATTTAAAATATATGAAGTAAAGACAATTTTAGAAGTTTAGCAGTTGAATAGCTTTAGCATTTTTATAGATTTTACTTTCCTAGCTGTTATACATAACAAAACGAAGGCGTGGCAATCAATTAAAAAATGACCCATCAAGATTTTTACATTTTTGGACTTGGGACACCTTGAAATGTTGAGAAATGAAAAAAATTTAAGGGTTTTTTTCTGTATGTATGAATGTTAATGTGTGTGTGTGGATGGATGGTACAATTTTGTACATCCTCTTTGAAGCTTATTAACTCCTGTGCTTTTTGTCGAAAATTTCTGAAATCTTGCATGGAGGTGGAGGTTTGTATTAGGGGGATTGATACTATTAAATTTTGGTGATTAAAGGTCAAGGGGATGGAGAGTTAATGGAAGTTATATGTATTTCCAGTAGGGTCAGGCTTAATTTTACTTGTTATTAGAATTTATAATATTTATATAATACCCATCCCTAACCTCAAAATTAATTTTTATAATAGTTAAAAATATAAAAAGTTTTTAATAAATATCATAATAAATTGCACCACTAAATGTTGCCAGGAAAGTTAAGCAACTCGTTACTGGATTTTTTTTCAATGATTATATGAACTTACAGTATTGTCTGCTTCAAAGATACTGAATGAAACAATTCATTATTGCAAATTCAATTGTTTTTGTTCTAGGGAAGCAAAAATTAATTTTTAATTTTTTTATTTGTAAACTGTTTTTATGCTAAAAATTATTCTTATATTTATTATTTTGTAAATATTAATCATGGAATATTAAATTTATAAATTTTAGCAATCTCAAAGTGGAGATAGTGGTGTACCTCAAAGTCCAAATAAAAATATAGAAATGAAACCTCCAACAGTTCTTTTAAAAACAAGAGAAGGATCTGATAGAGATACCAGCAGATCTTGTTCACCAGGAGTTTCTTCTCCTTCATCAAATCAAAGTTTTCTTGAACGTACTAAAGAATCAGAAGGAACAGCATCGACTTTAACACAAAATAATAATTCTCAACCAGTTTATCATATTCAACAAAAAACATCACTAAGTAGTCATTCTACAGTAGAAGGTATATTTATGATTTATTCATAATCAAAATATAAAAACTAAGTAGAATTTATGTAAATTATTGTATTGTTTCTATTAAAAGTCTACTGGGCTTAAACATTTTCCCGAACATAAGTGTCTATTAAGATCTATATTTTCTGTTTATTATTTATGATAAAGCTGCACATAAAACATGAAATACTAGAAAATAGTAATAATTGTTTTACTACTAATTACTGCTTTATTTATCTATGTAAAAATTAAAAGTAATAGAAATTACTAATACAGTAAGACCCCACTTAATGCAGGGAATGTGTTCCTAGATGACAAAGCACTAAATGAAACAGCTAGTGTTACCACCCATCCGGTTTTCACTCAGACAGTCTGGGAATTGACTCACTGTCTGAGTGAACTATTAATTTTGTCAAGGAATTTTGTAGTGTGAAATTATGATGAAACAAAGTTCTTGCAAATATTTTTACAAATTTACACTATTTTAACAGTGAAAGAACTTACAATCACTGAAACTCATCTGCAATTCTGACATGTTAGTCTGTGTTTACGCAGATACGTGGTGTGCAACCTGTCAACTTTTTTTTTTCATGTACAATCGTATACGTCTCCAATATCCAATAGAGCTAAGTCATCTGTACCTGTTCTTTCTTAATTTAGGGCTACTTACGTTACTCCTACGCAAGTCCCTAGTCCCTAACTGTAACTGATTTAGAACCAGTATGCATGTTATTCTTTGCATTGTAAAATAACATTGCACATACGTCAGGAACTTCTGTTTGAACAAATCTGACCTGCCATCTGGATCAGTGATTTTGAAAAGGTGGCAACACTAGAAACAGCATTAAACAAGGTCATTTTAACATAGAATAAATAGGGAAAGGGGAACATGCGACCAAAAATAAACAAATTTTAGTATAATTTTAAGTTATTTTTATATTAATTTGTGTAATTATATATGTTAAATAACACTCAAACTTATGCACACAGAAATGTAAAGTTTATTTTTTATGACGAAGGTCCTGACTTTTCTGAAATTCTTGTTTTTTGCAATAAAGTCATGAAGTTTCATTTGTCACTTTCTTCTTTCCTTAAGCCAGGGTTGTCCAACCTTTTTTTCTAATGGGCCAAATTAGAAATTTATATATATTCAGTGGGCCACAAAGATACTTTATCTAAATGTATATGTTTTTAAAAAGTTCAAAATGTGAATATCAAATGTTAATAACAAATACAGTATTTTTTGTAATTATATATATTATTGTCAGTCAAAAAAGATTTTACTTCCACAAAAATAAAAATAAATTCAATGCCATTTTTTGACATTGTCTTCCTTTTATAATATTGTCAATATCTGCTTTTATGGTACTAGTCTTAATTCTAAGAATGTTAGTTAAATTGGAATCTCTCAACTTATTTCTTTCAGCAGTTTTGATGTTTTTCATGCACGAAAGAATTGTTCACAACAGTATATAGTACTCCATATGCATAACAGTTTTCTAGAAAAAATTACATTATTATGACATTGAAGTATATCCAGTGAAATGAGAATAATTTTTATGACATACTTTACCAAAATAAATGGAAATGCATCTAAAAAATGTGCAGGGTGCAGAAGGTTGTGGGCCACATAAAAATGTCAAGTGGGCTGCAGTGCAGCCCACGGGCCATAGGTTGGACACCCCTGCCTTAAGCAAATGTCAGTAGCAGAAGGTTGCATCCAAAACACCTCGTTTTGCTTTTGCACTCCTTTTAAAATTTGGATCATTCGCTATAATTTGATCAACGATTTCGGTTATCATTACCAAACTTTTACTAAGGAAACCTGTAGCAAGTTCTATGGATTCTTTGTTTCAGAATCTCTATTTTCCAGTTCTACATGAATTTCTTGTTCTGCCAGTTCTTGAAGGTTGTCATTGGTAAGGCTCTCACCAGAAATCTGCAGTGACTCCTCAATATCCTGATCGTCTACATCTAGTCCTACTGTATCAATTTGGTCAACCTAATGATACAGTGATAGGCTCTTCTTGTTGAGAATTCTTGGATATCTTCAGCCATAACTTCTTCCATACTTCGTTCATGCATTTATCAGTTAATTCTTGCCAAGCAAAGTTGATATTTCCTGTGGCATCTATGATATATTTTTTTCCAAAATTGCACCAAACATAGATTTAAAGAAAGTACACCTTTTTGCCACCTTTTGCTGATTGGTTCATGTTTCTAAATAATCATATTATATACAAATCAATGAAATGCCACGATAATTAAAATTAGTATAAATTTTGAGCTTTCTTTTAGGCTTTGAGCAGACCACATTATATCGAATCAGCAGGATCTTACTACTGTACTTTTAATTTTTATATAGATAAAGCAGAAATACAAATTGGTTAAAACATTGGATTGTGATTTTATTGTTTTTTTTTATTTTGAAAAATTATTGAAAATTTGATCCCTGCTGTTGCTATGGCTATAAGTAATTCTATAATAATATTTTAACAATGCAAATAATTATAGAAGTGGTTAGTGAAAAGAAGTAGAAGTGATCATCAAATTGTCAGCATCCAAAAAGTCAGATTCGCACATTCGCTTTACAGAGCACCAACCTCACCCAGTTTAGCGGGTGGAAGCCTAGGACCTCGGATGGATGCTACATGTATACCGCATCCAATTCTATCCAGGACTGGTTCCGGACTGTGTTAGCCACCTGCCCACTAGATATTTGGCCGCCCTCGCCCGCTTACATGAATCACAAGTAGATTTATAACTTAAACCAACCGATAAGAATTTACTGGTATGTTTTTATGATAGTTCTGTATAGTTGACAGAAGTTTAAAAAAAATTCATTAAAATATTTGATATTTTTATTTCGCTCTCCCATCTTATATTACTCACGGATTTCAATGTTAAACCAGTGATGTTACGATTTCGTATATCCCATCTTTAAGGGGATGTAGAAAAAAAACGTGTACAATTCTTGTACAATGTTAAAAAATTAACTGTTACTTTGACAGCATTATTTACAACTAAATTTAATGAATGAGAGAGATGCATGAGGTACAGAAAAAGCTCAGGAATTTATTTTCCTTAAATTTACGATTTATATATTTGTTGTCGTAAAAATTTGTCTTTCCACTTTTTTCCGAGACTACAAATATTCGAGTACAAAGTAACTGGTTTCGACTTATTTCTACTTAAGAAATAGTGAAATAATTGAGAGATTAGGGAATTGGGGACATAAACAAAACCCTGTTGAAAGAGCCGGAATATTACTTAAAAGCTTAACCAACCCAATCTCTAGCTGAGTACAGCGGAAACTGATTTCTTCATAATATTAGACATAATATAAACAGAAATTTTTCCAGTTCAACGAGAGTGACCGAAAAGTTGTAAATTTTGGAAATTCCCGTGGACACCTGGTCCTAAAACAAATTAGTTAGAAAACAAATGACAGACAATCTATTAAGTTTAACATATTTAGATTTTTACAGCTATGGTGAGAAACATTTAAAATTTACAACAACCCTGTCGCATCCTTTGAGATATACTAGTGATGTGACAAAAGAGGCATTTGACATTGACTGGTATCGGCACCCTTGGGATTTGGCATCCCGCGTGCATGCACGCACCACACACCTAGCAGGACCGTCTCTGATTCCACTCATAGGGAGCTATTTGACTAAGATTTAAAAGTAAAAAATATTTTATGTTGTTTTTATGTATGTTTCTTACAAAGCTATATTTAATTATAATTTTTTTTTTAAAGTATATTCATACAATTGAAGAATATTTTGTACCAGGTATGTATATCCACCANCTTCCAGTATTTTCTAAATTTAATATTAATTTAATTATTAAATTTAATAAAGCACATAATTCCTACCTCTAGTGCCAAATTATTTATTTATTAATAGTAGTGGTAAAGTAGCCTGACCTAATCCAGTAATTGTTTGGCTTTAATTTTGGCTTGATTAAAATTAAAGCCAAACTAAAATGAAACAAACAAACAACATCAGTTGTTTGTTTGTTTGTTTAATTTTAGTTTGGATTTAAACAACATCAGTTGTTTGTTTAATTAATTTTAGGTTAATCAGTATAAATAAAGATGGGCCTTTGATGATTAGAATATTAAAATCAATTAACCATTTTTTTTTTTCCTTTAAATTCTTCTATGCTGTGGGCACTAAGAGGGCCTCTTTCTAGCAAGCCCACAATGGAGCAACTGGGTTGTGAGGGACAGGGCCTGACATATCCAGATGGACCACCTCCCAAAAAATTTCCAGGAATTTTTCAGGAGGTGGTCCATCTGGATATGTCACATCAACTCTGGGAAAAGTTCCTGGGAATTTTTTGACTTATCTGAATACGATTCTGGGTCCCCAGAGCAGTAGGCTGCCACCTTGACTGCTCGGCCATCTGGCCCCAATTAACCATTACAATATATACAAATTAGTGAAATGTTAACTTAATATCTGGGTCAGGGATGCAGCCAAAAATTTTTGAGTGTGGATCACCCTCATGGCTAAAAATGTAATATCCTAATAACCTACAATACTAACAACACATTATACATGAAATTAACAAAACTGTCTTTGGTCATTTAAAAATTCTTTTATGGTGATGAAATTAACACTTTAATGCTAATAGAATTATCACTTGTTTTTATTATAGATAAAGGGATAGTTCTATTAGCACTAAAGTGTTAATTTCATCACCATAAAAGAATTTTTAAATGTCCAAAGACAGTTTTGTTTATTTCATATGTAATTATTAACTTGAAGAAGAATATATTTTATTTAACATCACATTATTGTGAAAAGAGCTATCATATCAGTATGATAGCTCTTTGTATGTCATATGCAAACCAGTGGTACACATGACAATGTTCAATAAAAGAAAAGATGAACAAGTAAGAACAAATATTAAATTTTAATTTTTTTAAACTCATGTAGCCTAGTATTTGAGAACAATGCATCTATTTTTGTTTTAAATACTGTAAGAATTGAATGTCACAAGCTGTGGGCAACTGCTTTGTGACATTCAGTTCTTACAGTATTTAAAGTTAAACTTGAGTGAGACCGCAGTGGCGACCACAAAGAGTGAGGGGAGGAAGAGCATTAGTGTGGAAAATGCTGCTCCATTTTACTCTATATGGTTACATTCTTGGGGTGATTTATCCAGAGATTTGTGCACAGAATTCATGCAAAGTAGAAATACACTAAAATTTCAGATTTATTCTTAAATGCATGATTGCAAACTTAAACAACTTTTTGATTTATATCAAGTATAAAGAACTAATTTATTGACATAAATAAGATAAAGTTAAATAAATAAAAATCATTTGGAAGCTATCTGAATCAAATTAATAAAGAAAATAAATTAAAGGCAGGTGGCATTTAAAATAGTCATTCAATAATTGTCCAAGTGTTCTATGAGGTGTTGAGGGTTGAAAATATAAACTTTTAGTTGTTATCATGGATGGTATACTTTATGGATGGATGGGTTGATACTTTTGATCTCTCATATGGTTATCTTAGTTCTCATTAATGGTAAAATACTCAACACTCAAAAACATGTTTTTTTTCTTTTTTAAATATCTTAATGCATTAGTAAAGTGCATCAATCTCCTCACGGTTTTTAATTAAACCAAACCAGACTTATGTAAACTAAAAAGATTTCATTCAATTTTTCATGAATGACTTCCTATATAACTACATTAACAAAATTAATGTATCTTCAGTACTTTTGGAATGAAAAGGTTGCAAATGACTCACCCTGTATATACTGAGTGTTTTTGAAAGGTCTCACTAAACTTTAACAGCATGTTCTATGGATTATAAAAATGAAAATATTTCATCCAGGCATATGTCCAAAAATGTTTCCTTTCAAAATTATAGCCATTTTAAAATTAGATGTAATTAAAATGTTTTTATGTAATACAAATTAATATCAATCTATGTTTTCTAGTAACATTTTAATTAAACAGTTCTTTAATACAATGAACTATTTAATTAAAATCAACCAAACTTAGAAATGGTGGACATTTATTTTATGCATGGCTGAGCTAATAGCAATAAACATGAATCACAACTGTACAGAGAACTTTTTGATTTCTGTAACCTGGAAAGGAACTGTTTTCAGACATACATTTATATGGAATTTTTTTCATATTTATGACTTATAGAAGACAAAGTTTTGCAAGACCTTACAAAAACATCCTATATACTGTATGTTCATTATACACAAACTTCTTAACTTAGGAAAATAATTTTTGTAACGAGCAGTTATTTATTGTAACATTGTCACAATTCACTTAAGTTTAATAGTTTCTTGGCCCTGTACATCGTACTTTTTATGTTAATGATGAAGTCATGCCAGTCATGTGTCTAACTCTGTTCAGGAGAAAATTTTTTAATTGAAATAAAGTGACTTCTGGCCCAAAGCGGGCATTTATATATAGTTAATTGGGGCCTCCTGCTCCTAAGCTTTCCATATATGGCCTTGACTTTCATCTATTTAACACCATTCTTGAGATTAAGGAAAGACAGACAGACAACAGTGGAAATTTATAGGACTACAATTTTTTCAAATTGCAGCTAAATGATTCATTTGAATATTTGATGTAACTGTTCTATCTGTACTATCTTAATCTAGGCCTGAACATTAGTTGAGTGTTTTTAACTATTTATTATGAAATTAAAAATATTTAAGTAATTGCAATTAAATAAACTTTTAATAAAATGAATAATTTTAGGATTTTTATTTTAGTTGGAAATGATCAGAAATTATGTCCATCACTTGAAATGAATTCCCCTGTAAAGTTGGTAGATGAATCCTTACAATGGTGTGACAATGCTATGGAAGTTAGTATTTAAAATTTAATCTTAATTAATTAAATTAACTTATAATCAATTATATATTATTAAAACAATAAATTAAATTTACAGTTTTTGCAAGATCAAACAGATTTTTATGTAATTGGAGTTGTTGGATTACAAGGTTCTGGTAAATCTACAGTTCTGTCAATTTTATCTGGGCATTATGGACAGGATGGAGGAAAGTAAGTAAAATAATTTAATTAATAATTAAGATTAATAAAAATAGTTATCTATTAACAATTAAAATATTTTCTGTAAAGTTGAAAATGTTTGCTATTTTAAGAATTTGTTTCCTTTAATAAATAACTTATAAAAAGGATTTATTAAACTTCTCTTCAAAGTTTATTAAAAATTTGAAGAGAAGCTTAATAGGAATTTTAGAATAAGGATATAAACAATATTTTTTACTTTGAAGTTCAAAATTTTGAATTTAGCAGGTTGTAAAGGTGAAATTTAGACATTTAATTTTTTTTCCTGGAAATGACTGTAAAAAAATGTTCTAGAACATTTGTTATGTGTATGTAAGTAGAGTAACCAATGGGCATTTTATTACATATTTCATTGGAAATAGATTCATCAGAAATGACTGACAATATGAAACTTTCAGAAGAACACATTTGCATGCTGTTGCTCTATCACTTCAAAAGTGGTCATAATGCAATGAAGGCTCACAATCTCATCTGCAAGGCATTTGGTAAGGACACAGTCAAGAGACAAACCTGCTACAATCTGCTCAAGAAATTGAAGGATGGATATTTCTTGCTTCAAGATGAACTCCATCCAGGCATGATTCAACCATTGATGATTTCATTATTTTACAACTAATAGATAATAATCCACAGTTGACCACCAGAGAATTAACACAACTTTCTGTACACTCCAAAAATTGACAGTCTGATACCACAACAACAACATACTAGCATATAAAGCAAAGATCACCTTATAGAATCTGGCCAATCTGGGCTGGTAGGTTCTTCCTCATCCACCTTATTGTCCAGATTTGGTGCCAACTGATTACTATCTACTGTATTTCATGCCTTGTAGAATCATATTGACAATATACAATTCAATGACAGTATCCATGTGATAATGATGCTCAAGACTTTCTTCAAAGAAATACCCCAGTCATTCTATGCTCACAGGATTGAAAGTTTGAAGCAAAAGTGGTGAGTTGTGATCGATATTGATGGTGATTACCTACTAAGACTAAACTGAACTGATTGTCAATAAAGTTTTTTTCAAAATGTTTAAATTTCACCTTTACAATCTGATACAATCAAAAATCTTTTCATGTTGTTTTTTTCTGTTTGTGAAAATTTTATTTGTAATTCATTTGCTGTACATTCTGATTAGCTTGTAACATTTAATTTAATTTCACAAAATATTTTATTTTTATAAAGAGATACTAACTGACTATTAAAAAATGCAATAATTTCAACTTTTGTATTTTAATACTACAGTTTATTGTTTGATTTTATATATAATTCATTCTTTGTATTTGTTATATATTTCTCTTTCTGATGATAATCTTTCAATATAAATTATCTATATTATTTTTTATTAATAGAATAAAGAATTTTAATTTTATTTTTTTGTAATAAATATATTAAAATATTCTATTGAATATTTTATTCTAAGTTTTATTTACAAAAAGTTGTTTTATTTTATTTTGCATAAAATATATAAATTATTATATATCTATTTGTCATATTTTTGAATATTTTTACTTATTTCCTGAGCATGTGACAATATGATGTCTCTTCATTTGTGCATCTTTAGAATGCTTTTCAAGCATCAAACAAGAGAACATAAAGAATTAGGAGAGCATTGCACTGTTGGAATAGATGTATATGTTACAAGTGAAAGAGTAATATTACTAGATACTCAGGTAAATTGAATCTAAAAAATTGAAAAGGCTGTTAATTATTTTTTCATGAATAACATTTTTTAAAGAACTAAAATAATATAGTTATATTAGTACATAACAGTGGTGTGCTGTCATTGGAAGCAGTGGATGTGCCATTTCCCTTGTATTTTCTAAAAAATAAATACATTTTAATTTTAATTATATGAAAATAATCGCACAATATTTTATTATAACCACATTATGTATCTTATTAAAAATTTCCATACTACACATGAAAAAAAAGATAAGATTGCTATTGTATATTCGAATATTAGTGGCGGAGTGGAAGCGCTGAATTGTCAGCATCCAAAAAGTCAGATTCGCACATTCGCTTTACAGAGCACCAACCTCACCCAGTTTAGCGGGTGGAAGCCTAGGACCTCGGATGGATGCTACATGTATACCGCATCCAATTCTATCCAGGACTGGTTCCGGACTGTGTTAGCCACCTGCCCACTAGATATTTGGCCGCCCTCGCCCGCTTACATGAATCACAAGTAGATTTATAACTTAAACCAACCGATAAGAATTTACTGGTATGTTTTTATGATAGTTCTGTATAGTTGACAGAAGTTTAAAAAAAATTCATTAAAATATTTGATATTTTTATTTCGCTCTCCCATCTTATATTACTCACGGATTTCAATGTTAAACCAGTGATGTTACGATTTCGTATATCCCATCTTTAAGGGGATGTAGAAAAAAAACGTGTACAATTCTTGTACAATGTTAAAAAATTAACTGTTACTTTGACAGCATTATTTACAACTAAATTTAATGAATGAGAGAGATGCATGAGGTACAGAAAAAGCTCAGGAATTTATTTTCCTTAAATTTACGATTTATATATTTGTTGTCGTAAAAATTTGTCTTTCCACTTTTTTCCGAGACTACAAATATTCGAGTACAAAGTAACTGGTTTCGACTTATTTCTACTTAAGAAATAGTGAAATAATTGAGAGATTAGGGAATTGGGGACATAAACAAAACCCTGTTGAAAGAGCCGGAATATTACTTAAAAGCTTAACCAACCCAATCTCTAGCTGAGTACAGCGGAAACTGATTTCTTCATAATATTAGACATAATATAAACAGAAATTTTTCCAGTTCAACGAGAGTGACCGAAAAGTTGTAAATTTTGGAAATTCCCGTGGACACCTGGTCCTAAAACAAATTAGTTAGAAAACAAATGACAGACAATCTATTAAGTTTAACATATTTAGATTTTTACAGCTATGGTGAGAAACATTTAAAATTTACAACAACCCTGTCGCATCCTTTGAGATATACTAGTGATGTGACAAAAGAGGCATTTGACATTGACTGGTATCGGCACCCTTGGGATTTGGCATCCCGCGTGCATGCACGCACCACACACCTAGCAGGACCGTCTCTGATTCCACTCATAGGGAGCTATTTGACTAAGATTTAAAAGTAAAAAATATTTTATGTTGTTTTTATGTATGTTTCTTACAAAGCTATATTTAATTATAATTTTTTTTTAAAAGTATATTCATACAATTGAAGAATATTTTGTACCAGGTATGTAAATCCACCACACATTTTATTTCACCAAGTAAGTTTTTATCATTTTATTTTTAATTGTAGTCCTTATATCGTGGCTGGCGATTCAGAATGTAATTGTGATATTGAAAATTTATTTTAAAAAAGTTTTGGCTCAAGATCATATAATGAAAAAGAAAACATTATTAAAAGAGAAAGGCCAATGACTAAGTTAAATATAAACACTTCAATAAAAAAATTTGTTTGACATTTTCACGATAAAATGGCTTTGTAAATCCATAAAAATGCAAAAATTGTTTTGTTGGCTTGCCTACTATTTTCAAATGAAATTAGCGTGTGGAATAAGAATGGCTTTGACAATTTAGCTGGCAAAAGACACGAAAAATCGTCAATTCTTTCGTATTTGAAGCAATTTGGAAATCAAAGAGGAATAGAATTTAACGTTAGGAAATAATATAAAATAAATATTAAATTATAACGAGATAGTTATGGCTAATAGATATATTTAAATTAATATATGTTATATGTTTTTATCAAAGCAAGAATCGGCATTTAGAGGGCATAGGGAATCTATTGAATCTAATAACAGAGGTAATTATATTGAACTTTATTAATAACTATTAATAACTATTTATTAATTACATCAGATAAACAATTTATTAAAAATGCATTTAAAGAATTAACTGATTGCCCCTGGAAGTCAGCTTTTTACAGAAACACAGCTTCCCTATCATCAAATGTCACGGCACGCCACTGGTACATAAATATTAGTAATCAAATACTTGTGATTATTCAGTATATGTGATTAGTTAAATAATGATAAATGAGTGGGAAAAAAAATTAATTGTATTGTATAAAAAAGTAACTACATTGGTAGTGGTGCTTCGTTCTTTGGGATAATTTAATTCATTCTGAGAGGCTGTTCAAACTTTGAATTGTTTGAAATCAAATAAATTTTTGCCATTAGAAATAATGGAAAGTGAATTATCCATTTCCAGACCCTAACAAAATCCAGTTTGATAAACTTAAAACAGCAAATACACATACCATATTTTTGCAGATTGTCCAGCATGTCAGTCTTTGTGGGGGAGATCATGAGATCAGATATTTCTATATGGTAAAAACTGGTATGCTGGTTTAAGTGAGGTTATACATCCCTCTATAGAGGGCATGTGAAACTTACAAATGCCAGCTTTTATTCTAAAACTGTGAAACTGTCAGCATTATGTCAAAAATCATGATTATCTGTTTTGTTTCTGCATTTTTCATGTCTTCTTTCTAATGATGTCAAATACTTGCAGAATGCTGAAAGTACTTTTTTTTAGTGTTTATTTTATTGTAATTTGATCCAAAAATTCAGAAACTCACTGTAAATTATCTCAAATTACACTGATTAACATCCACTGTGTGTGAAATTTGATAGGATGATGTTATCTTTCAAGTTAGGGTAGACTCAGTGCAACCCACACAAACTACTACTACTATTACACTAATGTTAACAAGCCACTAATTGTTTTATTGCTCTCTAAAAGAAAACTCTCTTCAGCCAGTCAAATTACAATGTTGTTATTTTATTGTACTTAGGATAATGTTTTCTTTAACAACTAGTTTTATTAGATCTGATTAATTTTATTTTTTAGTTGCAGTTCAGCTGATATGCTGGAAACCCTGTGGTTATCAGCATGTTGTTCTCTCAGTTGTATGCAGCATGCTGGTCAGTCTGCAAAAATACAGTAATAAAAGGTATCACTAATAATTAAATGCCCTAATAGTAAATTAAAACATGAAAACAATAAAGAAAATATGTAAATGCTATATAATGAAGTAAAAATTATCAATACATTTACTTGTTGCACACTGTTGACTTCAGCATCTTAAATGTGGCTGCCCAATTTGCCACTTGTGTACCACTTTAATGATAAGTTACTTTTTCATCTCAATTGTCATTATTACAACCTACCTCTTAGACTTTGTTGCTTCCACCACTTCTCAGATGCCATGATTAATAATTGAGCCCTTGTTTTGAAGAAATAAAAATTTTATTTAATGACATAAAGAGTTAAATCTACTGAGGCTTCTTTTTCACTAAACAGGAAATGGCAACACAATTTTTAAATTTTTTTTTTAAGCTTTAAACATGAGGAATAATAATAGTAATAATAATGCTAATGATACATTAAAATAAAAAATAATTTTGTTAACATAAAAAAACTAAAATTATAAAAGTTTGAACCTGAATCATTTAGCACCAGTACCTAGCATGTGCCACTTGGCTATTGTCATTCCAAGGAGACATGAAATTTTCAAAAGCCTATAAGCCAAATACTCATTTTTCATAGGCCTGTTTTTCAGAAACACTTGAGAAGTGGGTCCTATTATTTTGACAAACAGCTGTTTGTGTTTAGGGCTACATACTCACCAAGTTTTGTTTGAATCGAAGACCTGAACATCTGACCCTCTTCTTGTAAGCTTAATTAAAATTAATTTGAAGTGATTCTAACTAAAGATGGGAGTATTTGAATGCAAGAGTTGAGAACTATTCAATTGCCTATTCCAGTTCTGAAAACTAATAATAAGAAGACTGTATGTTTACTTAGCATGTGACCATTTCAATGGCATGGTCCAGAATTGTTCTCAGAATAAAGTTTGTGCTGTTGTGACTGTTTTATCTGAAGACAATTTTACTTATTTATTTACAAGTTGAATCTGTTTTCTGATTTATCCATGTTAAATTACATTCTTTGCACTCAAAATCCTTTTCTATTTGTGCAAGAACATGTTTCTGGCCTATAGTAAGATTTAACATAGGAAATTGTTCTATTTTAAAGAATTTTTTCTATTTAGACAGATTTCCATTTTATTCCATTTTAGACAAGTTTTACTTTATATTATTATAAATTACGAAGTTACTAATCTACTATTAAAAAATTTTGTATTGATTTCATAAATTAAATTAAATTGCATAGCATATCTTTATTACAAATTAAGACAGTTAAGGCTGTAGCATTATAGTGCTATAATGCTTCAAAAGTCCCACTTACTGCTTATGGTCTACTATAAATTATAAGTAGTATGCAGGACTTCATTTGTTAAATGCTGCATTGAGTTTTTTATATAGTCTAGCATTGTAATGCTATACATCAGGGATGGCCAACATGTAGACCGCAGTCGACCGCAAAGGTTTTGAAAGTAGCCCGCGAAGCTAAAGTTGAACAATTTGCTTTCACTTAATGTTTAAAAATCTTAATTCAATAATTCATTCTTACAATAATAGACTGTCTGTGCAACGTACCCATACTGTTTGTATTTATCCCGATGAACCATGCAAATGAATGTTAATGCAGGCGCATATAAAAATCCTAAAATTGTTTGCCCATATTCATAGTTGCCCGTTGACTATATTTTACCAAAAATGTAGCCCCTAAGGGATAAAAGTTTGGCCACACCTGCTATACATGCTACAATACCAGCTGCTATATATAACCTGGTCTGTGCCAGCCTTTAGTCATTTAATAGTTCTGATGATAAGTTTTTATATTAAACTGTATATTTAAGTGAATAATATCTGCAGAAAAATGTACAATATTAAAATGGTACAAAATTTGATCAATATTTGACCATATTTTCTGAATTGGTTATTTTGATTCTTGCAATAAATTTATTTATATTTCACATTGTGAAAAGTATGAGTGATGATGATGTAGTTTTAATACTCTTATTTCAAAATATTTAACACATTAGATTTATAAACATTGTGAGAATGCATTTCATGAATATAAATGATTTTATAGAATAGCTATACATTTATATATATTTTTTAGAAAGAATGAATAAATGGTGAAGATGTACTGCACCCAGTGATTGGATTCGGATGGTTTGCACCAGTTTGGCAGAACTAATTCCTAAAATATTTTTAATTTGCTGAACCAATTGTTAAAATTGTACTTGTGATATTTGTATAAACAATTTATTGCAAAAATCTGTGTATACATAAGACTGCCAGCTTTTTAACAGTTCAGTGCAGACTGGATAGAATGAAAGAGAAATGTCACACACTAGAGCAGTAGTTTTCAACTGTGATGCTGCAAAAACACTTCAGGGGTTCCACAAAATGGATTAATGGAAGAAGGCAATGCAACACTTTGTCCATCTGCTGAGGAGCAGTGCTGCCTAGGAGAACTTTCTGTAGAAAATAGACCACTATTTATGTGTTAGACTTGATGGAAACCAGAATTTTACATGGCCAGCTCATTAGTGAGATCTGAAGATAAAAACTTGTGACAAGTGTTTAATGGTTTTATCCATTTGGCCACTGAAGGTCACTGTTGCCACAAAATATAGTGCTGAGCAGTGCCATAATGTTAATATGTTTTACTAAATGTACTAAATGCTCAGTATCTTTATATTAATAAAGAAATAAGGCTGTCACAAGAAAAAATTTTAAGTTGAGGGTGCCACTATTGAGTTGAAAAACACTGCAATAGAACAAAAAGCAAGTGAGAATTTGTTGTTGTTGCAATCGCAATTGACCTGTCACAATTAAAGATCTGAAGTGATGGTCTCTTTACAATTTTTTATATTGCTTGCGGGCCCTTTAAAATTAACTACAATTAACATATAGGCTACTGTTGCCAAAACATTTTTTGACAAACAATTATTTATTCAGAAAATGGCAAATCTTAGTTATCAAATGTACGTTGAATGGGATGCGTGCATCTGCTTTGCCTGAAATGATCCCTTCATGGTCCCACTGAAACTGCTTTGCAGTTTCCTAGATGACCACAGACCCCAGTTTGAGAACCATCAATCTAAATTTAAGTTTTGTTAAGTAAATTGATCTTTTAACAATTATTGAATATTTTATAACAATAAATTTTATTCTGAGTTCATTAAAAATCATATTTTATATATATAGCCCATACTTAGTGCTTCTGTAATGGATCAAATTATACAATATGAAAAGAAAATACCAGGAGGTACTGATTATCATTCTACAGAAAATGCTTTACAAATGCAGGTATGTATATTGCATGGGAAAAACATAAAATAAAATTATATATATATAGTCAAACTTTTATATAACAAATTGTATCTGGGAAACATGCAGAATTTGTTGTATAGAATATTCATTAAATGGAAAATACACTAGGAGTGAAAAGAAATCAGTTTTATTTTCCATTGCATATAGTCTTGTTCTTACATTAATAACAAAATAAAGTAATAGCATTTTAGATGAAAAAATCAAACACAAAATATAATAAATATAGTATTTTTTTTAAATTGAGAAGAAATGTTTTGATGAAATGTTGAAAAACATTTTTTTACACTGTACATTTTTTTAATCAAGTTATTTCATTTAAAATGAACAATTCTAATATTAAATAATCAAAAATTCCGTTTTTGATTTTTTACAGTTATGAACAAATTAAAAACATGTATTTGAAGCTGTTTCAGCTTTGAATTATTGTACCATTATAGTACTATATAGTACAATAATAAATTATTGTACCATTATAGTACTAGTAATGGCAGTTAGGTGGTGATGCATTGTGGAAATAAGTCATTTTAACTAATTTGACACCTATCAATGTGAAAAATATGTTTTTATTATGTCTGGCTTTCAAAAGTTTTGTCATATAGAAATTAAACTTTACCAAATAAGGACATATTTAATTGTTAAAAGGACATATTTTCAACATTCTACAGAAAAATTTATTTAAAAGAGAAATTTATGGTCTAGACTTCATAATATGGAAGTTTGACTATGTGATTATTAAATAATTTTATTGCACATTTGATGATGATAAACCAAATTTCTTCAACTTAAAACTAAAATATGAATTATAAATTTATTTAAAAGTGAAGCTGGAATTATATATGCATGTGCATGGCAGCCCAAAAAGAAAAGTACATGTACAAGTAAACAGATTTAGCGTAGAAAAATACAAGTCTTCTACTTGGAAATAGAAAATTAAAAGTTTTCTTATATATATNTAAGATTAATAAAAATAGTTATCTATTAACAATTAAAATATTTTCTGTAAAGTTGAAAATGTTTGCTATTTTAAGAATTTGTTTCCTTTAATAAATAACTTATAAAAAGGATTTATTAAACTTCTCTTCAAAGTTTATTAAAAATTTGAAGAGAAGCTTAATAGGAATTTTAGAATAAGGATATAAACAATATTTTTTACTTTGAAGTTCAAAATTTTGAATTTAGCAGGTTGTAAAGGTGAAATTTAGACATTTAATTTTTTTTCCTGGAAATGACTGTAAAAAAATGTTCTAGAACATTTGTTATGTGTATGTAAGTAGAGTAACCAATGGGCATTTTATTACATATTTCATTGGAAATAGATTCATCAGAAATGACTGACAATATGAAACTTTCAGAAGAACACATTTGCATGCTGTTGCTCTATCACTTCAAAAGTGGTCATAATGCAATGAAGGCTCACAATCTCATCTGCAAGGCATTTGGTAAGGACACAGTCAAGAGACAAACCTGCTACAATCTGCTCAAGAAATTGAAGGATGGATATTTCTTGCTTCAAGATGAACTCCATCCAGGCATGATTCAACCATTGATGATTTCATTATTTTACAACTAATAGATAATAATCCACAGTTGACCACCAGAGAATTAACACAACTTTCTGTACACTCCAAAAATTGACAGTCTGATACCACAACAACAACATACTAGCATATAAAGCAAAGATCACCTTATAGAATCTGGCCAATCTGGGCTGGTAGGTTCTTCCTCATCCACCTTATTGTCCAGATTTGGTGCCAACTGATTACTATCTACTGTATTTCATGCCTTGTAGAATCATATTGACAATATACAATTCAATGACAGTATCCATGTGATAATGATGCTCAAGACTTTCTTCAAAGAAATACCCCAGTCATTCTATGCTCACAGGATTGAAAGTTTGAAGCAAAAGTGGTGAGTTGTGATCGATATTGATGGTGATTACCTACTAAGACTAAACTGAACTGATTGTCAATAAAGTTTTTTTCAAAATGTTTAAATTTCACCTTTACAATCTGATACAATCAAAAATCTTTTCATGTTGTTTTTTTCTGTTTGTGAAAATTTTATTTGTAATTCATTTGCTGTACATTCTGATTAGCTTGTAACATTTAATTTAATTTCACAAAATATTTTATTTTTATAAAGAGATACTAACTGACTATTAAAAAATGCAATAATTTCAACTTTTGTATTTTAATACTACAGTTTATTGTTTGATTTTATATATAATTCATTCTTTGTATTTGTTATATATTTCTCTTTCTGATGATAATCTTTCAATATAAATTATCTATATTATTTTTTATTAATAGAATAAAGAATTTTAATTTTATTTTTTTGTAATAAATATATTAAAATATTCTATTGAATATTTTATTCTAAGTTTTATTTACAAAAAGTTGTTTTATTTTATTTTGCATAAAATATATAAATTATTATATATCTATTTGTCATATTTTTGAATATTTTTACTTATTTCCTGAGCATGTGACAATATGATGTCTCTTCATTTGTGCATCTTTAGAATGCTTTTCAAGCATCAAACAAGAGAACATAAAGAATTAGGAGAGCATTGCACTGTTGGAATAGATGTATATGTTACAAGTGAAAGAGTAATATTACTAGATACTCAGGTAAATTGAATCTAAAAAATTGAAAAGGCTGTTAATTATTTTTTCATGAATAACATTTTTTAAAGAACTAAAATAATATAGTTATATTAGTACATAACAGTGGTGTGCTGTCATTGGAAGCAGTGGATGTGCCATTTCCCTTGTATTTTCTAAAAAATAAATACATTTTAATTTTAATTATATGAAAATAATCGCACAATATTTTATTATAACCACATTATGTATCTTATTAAAAATTTCCATACTACACATGAAAAAAAAGATAAGATTGCTATTGTATATTCGAATATTAGTGGCGGAGTGGAAGCGCTGAATTGTCAGCATCCAAAAAGTCAGATTCGCACATTCGCTTTACAGAGCACCAACCTCACCCAGTTTAGCGGGTGGAAGCCTAGGACCTCGGATGGATGCTACATGTATACCGCATCCAATTCTATCCAGGACTGGTTCCGGACTGTGTTAGCCACCTGCCCACTAGATATTTGGCCGCCCTCGCCCGCTTACATGAATCACAAGTAGATTTATAACTTAAACCAACCGATAAGAATTTACTGGTATGTTTTTATGATAGTTCTGTATAGTTGACAGAAGTTTAAAAAAAATTCATTAAAATATTTGATATTTTTATTTCGCTCTCCCATCTTATATTACTCACGGATTTCAATGTTAAACCAGTGATGTTACGATTTCGTATATCCCATCTTTAAGGGGATGTAGAAAAAAAACGTGTACAATTCTTGTACAATGTTAAAAAATTAACTGTTACTTTGACAGCATTATTTACAACTAAATTTAATGAATGAGAGAGATGCATGAGGTACAGAAAAAGCTCAGGAATTTATTTTCCTTAAATTTACGATTTATATATTTGTTGTCGTAAAAATTTGTCTTTCCACTTTTTTCCGAGACTACAAATATTCGAGTACAAAGTAACTGGTTTCGACTTATTTCTACTTAAGAAATAGTGAAATAATTGAGAGATTAGGGAATTGGGGACATAAACAAAACCCTGTTGAAAGAGCCGGAATATTACTTAAAAGCTTAACCAACCCAATCTCTAGCTGAGTACAGCGGAAACTGATTTCTTCATAATATTAGACATAATATAAACAGAAATTTTTCCAGTTCAACGAGAGTGACCGAAAAGTTGTAAATTTTGGAAATTCCCGTGGACACCTGGTCCTAAAACAAATTAGTTAGAAAACAAATGACAGACAATCTATTAAGTTTAACATATTTAGATTTTTACAGCTATGGTGAGAAACATTTAAAATTTACAACAACCCTGTCGCATCCTTTGAGATATACTAGTGATGTGACAAAAGAGGCATTTGACATTGACTGGTATCGGCACCCTTGGGATTTGGCATCCCGCGTGCATGCACGCACCACACACCTAGCAGGACCGTCTCTGATTCCACTCATAGGGAGCTATTTGACTAAGATTTAAAAGTAAAAAATATTTTATGTTGTTTTTATGTATGTTTCTTACAAAGCTATATTTAATTATAATTTTTTTTTAAAAGTATATTCATACAATTGAAGAATATTTTGTACCAGGTATGTAAATCCACCACACATTTTATTTCACCAAGTAAGTTTTTATCATTTTATTTTTAATTGTAGTCCTTATATCGTGGCTGGCGATTCAGAATGTAATTGTGATATTGAAAATTTATTTTAAAAAAGTTTTGGCTCAAGATCATATAATGAAAAAGAAAACATTATTAAAAGAGAAAGGCCAATGACTAAGTTAAATATAAACACTTCAATAAAAAAATTTGTTTGACATTTTCACGATAAAATGGCTTTGTAAATCCATAAAAATGCAAAAATTGTTTTGTTGGCTTGCCTACTATTTTCAAATGAAATTAGCGTGTGGAATAAGAATGGCTTTGACAATTTAGCTGGCAAAAGACACGAAAAATCGTCAATTCTTTCGTATTTGAAGCAATTTGGAAATCAAAGAGGAATAGAATTTAACGTTAGGAAATAATATAAAATAAATATTAAATTATAACGAGATAGTTATGGCTAATAGATATATTTAAATTAATATATGTTATATGTTTTTATCAAAGCAAGAATCGGCATTTAGAGGGCATAGGGAATCTATTGAATCTAATAACAGAGGTAATTATATTGAACTTTATTAATAACTATTAATAACTATTTATTAATTACATCAGATAAACAATTTATTAAAAATGCATTTAAAGAATTAACTGATTGCCCCTGGAAGTCAGCTTTTTACAGAAACACAGCTTCCCTATCATCAAATGTCACGGCACGCCACTGGTACATAAATATTAGTAATCAAATACTTGTGATTATTCAGTATAT